CGGCAGAATGCGATCACAGCTGTCGCGGCACCTAGCAAGCTGAAGTCACCCAAACGCAGTCGTAGCCTTCTCGGCTTGGTTTTCCGACTGCTATGCTCCTCCGGTGCTTCTCGTAGTAGTTACAGATGTTACAGTACAAGTATGACAACGACCTAGAGTTCTTCATCCGCAACTGGTATGGATTTGGGTGGGGTCCCGACCCGTAAGCATCGCCCTCCCGTACAGTCTACTGTGTTCGCAGGGAGACTGCTGGTCGAATCGGCCACCTATCGTTTTCTGGATGATGCGTCTAGCCTCTCCTAAGATGACGTTTCGAGTTTCATGCCAGCGTGTCCCTGGTTTAAACTGATGCACAGAGACCTGACGGCCTGCAGGTCGATATCCACACAGCGAGGTGGTCNNGCCCCCCCCCCCCCCCCCCCCTCGTATGCATGTGCGTGCATGCCGCTTTGAGGTCGCCTCTTCGGGCAGAAGCGACCGCAGCCACTCGAAGAGGTGGAAGCAAGCCTCGCTGTGTCACCCAAATTGAACGGAAAGATTCACCTAGACGTTTGTGCCTGGCTGCACTTGAGCACATCGTACGAGTTCATGGGGGTCCTCCCGTCCGCAGCCCATTGGCAGCAATCAACAAACTGATGCCGCCCAGAGCTCCGTATCCTGGCAGAGTAACTCTCAGTCTTTGGATCGTACTTCTGCCAGTTCACACCTTGGTCGGATCGCATGTCCAGTGCAGCACCACCGCATGTTTGACCTGTGATTCTGCTGTCACACCTGTACGGTGCCTTTCCGGGGGCCTGGCTTCGAGTCAACTTCGCATGGAAGAGCTCCCTCTGGGGGAGGGAGAGGCTTGTCAGCTGCCGAGCCTGCCAGCATCTTATCCTCCGGCTGGCGGCTACGAGCTTTCGGGCTGTCAGCCGCAGCTGACCCATGCAAACAATCCGCCGTGCCGGAATGTTTCTGCTCCCCTGCTTTCGCAGATTCATGAGCTCTGTTCGCACGAGACAACTTGCAGCTTCCTTTGGGAGCCAGAGCTGAAAATGGCTAAAATGCGAGGCAGCCTGGGAGAAGCCTCGGTTCATAATTCTGGCGTTGGTGCCTTCGACAGCCAAGCCCTATAAGCATTAATGGACTGCTGCCGTGTTGGCGAGCTCCAGAAAATGGCAATGGCACAGCGATGTTCACCAGCCCAAAGCCGCGTCCCAACGCCCAATCTTAGCCTTCCTCGGCAGCACAGGAAGTGGCAGGAACCTGAGACCTCGATAGCCTTCGGGGTTTGTCACCTGGGCTTCCTCCACCAAGCATCGACCCCGAAGCTTGCAAGCTCGTCCTCGAGATCCTCGGAGCGAGCCGTGGCCACCACGCTGCTCACGACGGATGCAACCTGTGCCCGCGAAGACAAGTTGAAATCACTTGCATCCCATGCCTGCGCTTGGGCCTCGTCATCCAAGTCAGGGCCTCGAATCGACGCAATGTGCAAGCCATTTTGCGGAAGTGAATGTCAGTCAATTGCAGCTGCCGGCAGCAGTTGCTAGTTCAAGTTGCAAACGGCACTACGAGAAGAAAACTTGGGATCTGTGTTGTGCAAACCCGAACAGCCAGCCAGGCATGACCACACCCTTTACACTTCTTTTTCTCGCGAGCAGTGGCTGTGATGATGCACCCCAATTCCTCTCGCAGCTGAGAGGCTGCTCCGGACAGAAGCTGTAGGGCTTGCCCTGAGCATCCGAGGGTCATGTCTCGGATGCTGCGCACCAACTGCAGCCAAGCTGCACGGGCATTGCGACCGTCTCTGTCTCCTTGCAGCTTTGGTCTAAAAACCAAAGAGCACCCAGCGAGTCAACGAAGGGTGGGGCCTTCGACACACTCGCTGTGCGGAAGCGAACCGCCCGCGAGGGCCGCTTCTCAGCGTCCTGCGTTTATCTGTATTTCGGAGGCGTATGGCATGTGGAGGCCTAGACACGAACTTCAATTTTCCTTCGGAGGCGGCATGGGCACCGGTGCATCCCTCTCCTTGGAAGAAAAACTGAAGCATGAAGCGACCACTACGCCAGAAACCCTACACTGAGGGGCCAACCGTCCTTTGCTTCTCGGTCTGCGATGCCTCCGTGACTGGCACAGCTGCAGGCCTTGAACGGGCGTCTGCTGGCTGACGTCTTACATTCACTACAGCATCGGCCACGGACTCTGCAGCAACAGCACCATGTGACGCGGCATCCAGGGCCTGTGGCGCATCAACACCAACAAAGTGCCGGCAGGGCCTTCGGGGACCGGGCTTCTTCCAGTTCCCGTGCATCCTTCTCGAGCTCTGTTGGCGATGATGCAATACCTTGGCATCGAAGCATCAGGCCTGAAACTGAGACACTGCCAAAGCCAAGGCGCCATCAGTGATCATCACAGGCGTCATCGTCGTCTTTCTCGGATTGAAGATCTCTTGCCAGACCATCTTCCCATAGACGTTGGCCGCCTTCCTGGTGTCGGGAGCTTCGCTTCGCTTTCAATCTCTGGTCGGAGCCCGAATGAACAGTTCATAGAGAGTTCCCAACGCGCCAGGCGTCTTCAGCTGTCTTTCGGGGAAAGCCGAGGCGGTCTTGGTCTGTCGATCGGGCTTGGTCTGTCGATCGGGAACGCGAACACCTGGGATCACGAGATTTGCACTGAGGACCCGTCTCTTGTGGAGCAGGCCTTGGGTTGCGGGGAGCCTCTCCATGTCGCCATGCGCCTGCCTCAAAAGCGGCTTCTCTTGACGCTGCATGCGGAACTGGACTGAAAACAAAGGGAGAGGGAGCTGGGGCGGCCATGTGCTGCACAGCTGCATCCGCTGCCAGCGTATCTGCAGGTCAGGTCAAGCATGTGGATTCGGGGTCGTGCTTGCGCAAGTTTCGCCACGCATGTCTCTTCTGTTACGTTAGTTGATGTTAGTTGTTGTTGCGCTGCCAGCTTTCTGTCACCAGCTTTCCTTGCAAGTCGCTTGCCGGTAGCCTGGACTGGCCTCCCTTAACTTTCTTCGCAATAGCACATTTCCGCGACATGTAACTTCGGGTATTGCTTTGAACCCGGCTCTTGCAAACCCGCCTTTCCTGTTGCCAGTACAAGTTGATGATATGGACCAGTCTCGTTGCTAGCAGACTTGAATCTTCACGGTCTCGGAGAAAGCACGGCTGTAGTACTGTAGGGGGAAAAAGCGCAAGAGACAGCAGCTTTCCTGCCACAACCGTTGAAAAAAGCTTCTGGGTGAGGGCACATCGCATCAGAAGACACAGGCTGATAATCGAATTCTGCATCGCATCCGAAGCGACCGATTCCAGTACATCGAGACGTGAAAGCATTAACCGCCAGGAAACTTGCCGAGGCCTTCTTGGCCTCCGTCAGCGCCCCTTTCCGCTGCTCTGCCCAAGCTCGACCCTCCGAAGGTCCGGGGAGCTTGGTCCTGGCCAACGCGAGACGCGAGTCGAGATCAGGTCAAGAGCAGCATGCGGATGCATGCGGCACCGGGGTACGCCGGCCTTTTGGGATTCTCGCTGATGGTCGTGTCGAACTCCACTTTCGGCACTGCGACCGCTTCCTCGGCAGCGACATTCCGTAGAGATGCGGTCCACATTGTAACAAGCTGAAAGACCTGATGAAGGGGAATGTGGACGAAGCAGGAGGGAAGCCGCGATGACTTCCCGCCGTGCGCGAAACTCGATCTTAACAGTCAGGCTGATAATACCAGTGCTTGTAGTGAGTAGTCTCCTCGATGCGACTCTTGCAGGACACATCTTCCGTACCGTTGGCTTTTATCTCGGCGGCAACAATCTCATACACATCACTGGTGTCAGTTTCAACTTTCGCAGGGCTCGCGGCACTTGTTCCAGTCAGGTTAGCCACGCGGGTCATACCTATCCACACATGATTTATGATGTACGTAAATCGTATCATGCATGCAACTCGTGAAATCCATGCCATCAGGAGCATCTGCACCCCATAAGCAACATCTCGAATAGAACATCGTAGCATCAGTAACATCATACATGCTATCAAATCAAGAGTGTCATGCGCAACATGCACATCATGCACAGCAACGACATCAAGAAGACCATCGCACCCCGTCGTCCACCCAGCATCCCAAAGGATGTCCATCACTAGTTAACTAGTTGAGGCATCATCCAACTTTCCACCCCGCTTTCCCTTGACTTGGCAGGGTTTTGCAGAGGCATTCCTCCAGAAGATCAGTGCATCAATACGAACGGCATTACCCAGCCAAGCATCAGCTCGCTGATCCACGGAGGTGCGGCGCGACATGACGACTTTCAGGAACTTGTTCACCGACCTCGACAAGTTCAGTACGTAGATCCCCGTTTTTCGGGAAACACGGTTTGTATATATGTGTCTCGAGATCTTTCGCTTCCGTGCCAAGGCACTTGGATTTCATGGCCAGGGACTTACTCGCTCTGGCTTCGATCGGCTTCTGGGTGTTCGCAATGCGTTTCTCCATGATTTCCTGGGCAAAGAGAAACATGCGATAATCCTCTGACGCAGCCAGCCGTCAACAGGCTGCTTGCAGCTGATGCTCCCTCAGCCTCACTCTCTCTTCCGGGAACTCATCCAACACCTCTTTGAAGGACTGCGCCTCAAGCCAAGCACCATTTTGCAGGATATGGCTCAGGCATACGAGCTCACTGGGCCTCCACAGTGTACGCGACTATCTTCGTGTGCGCCTTCACTGTGGCGCTGGAGGTGCTCGACAAACCCAGGATAGCCACCTGGCCCACGAAGAGAGACGCAAGAGAGCACCAGAGACTGCGATGTCGAGTCAAGGACTACCGTACCACTCACATCTACACGCCCCCTCCCCTCGACACACCACCGACCAGCGATCGAAACGAGAGCCTCTTGACTAGATTCTTTATGTACTCTTACTGTTGTGATAATTTTCCCATGTTACGATTGCACTCTTTGACTACTCGGGTCCCAGTTTCTCCTTTACCATTTACGCATCTTCACGATACTAGACAGGTGGACACTCGCAAATGTGCTTTCGAGATGCAAAGGGGTCACTGGTTTTCACGAGCCCTCAATCTTGACGCCCATATTTGCATGTCGACACAGGGCATCATCCGCGATCGACACTGAGATCCGTCGGCAGGGCCGTGTTCACTTTCGCTCTCGTCCCAGGCCCGGGCCTCGCCAAGGAACTCTCCCGGGCCACACTCAGCGATGAGGACGCCCTGAGACTCCACGGTGGCCGTGCCCTGATGGATCATCACCTGTCACGGGCACCAAAAAAATGCGCTGCAAGATGCACTCTTCAGCCTCAGTTGCGCCGAGGAGCTCCATATCGGGGCTCCTCGCCTTCTGTCAGAATGTTCTGGTTCGGAAGGTAGACCCGGCGCTCGAAGTAGTTCGACACCTCGCATGCCAGACTGAGAGCACGCGGCTCGGGCGCTGTTTTCCGGTCTGAGCGTGCTGCGCGGGCCAGGAACTCAGCTCCGCAGGCTCCGAACCTGAGAAGAGCTTGAGCTAACCGTGCTTCGAAGCTTCGAGGAAGCCCCCGCGATTCTTCCAGCCGAAGGGCAGCCCTTTGTCTTGCTGCTCGGCTGCTACGGTCATGTCGTCTGGGCTGGCCAGGTGATTCCTCGGGCAAGCGACGCTTCTAACAAGCTATGCGCTGAGGGAGTCTCGGTTAATGGCCTTGTCAGTGCCATCTTCTTCTCCAGCATCCTCCAAGGGTTTAGAGCTTCCTCTATAGCTCCCTGTAAGATGACTTAGAGCCTTAGACTATTAGAGCATGCCACAAAGTCAGCCCCGTTGTGCTGCGAGGCCTCTCCAAGCGCGCGATGTCCTCCGGGAGCCGAGCCCGGACGATGGGCACCGCGGCGCTGGAGGCTGGGAGGACCATGCACTCCGACACCGTGCAGCTCCGCACCTCTCGTCGCGACGCGTTGCTTCTCCCCGTCCCGGCTTTTTTCCCTAGGCCCTAGGTCCCGGCCGTGGCTGCAGAGGGCGTCCCGGGCTCCAGGATCCCGCGCTCGCCGAAGATGGCCGGCGCCACGATGTTGGCAATGTGAACGCCACGCACCTGCCCAAAAAAAAAAGGATGTCTGCAAATACTCATAAAGAAACCCCCGAGCAGAGCCTCCACTTCGACCATTCCGTGAAGAAGGACGGTGAGGAAACTCTCCTGGACAGAGCCGGATTGGGACTTCGGAAAACCGAAGAGCATCCACAAGAGCTGTGAGCTTCAAGCCGACACTGAAGCGCTCCTTGCCCTCTTGCAAAATCGTCTGCTTCGGTAGGAAGGGCTGCTCGTGCATGTTATCCAGAAGGATCTGCAGAAACTGGCTGCTGAAGCTGCCCTCACCTTGGCGAGTCCAGAAGACGAGACTCTTACCTGCTAGTCTCTAGAGATTCTCATCCGCATCCATGGCGCTGGCACCCGCACGCTGCAGCGCCGATGCAGTGGCTTGCCTGCTCTGGCTGTGCGCTTCGATGACCTCCCTCACACGGTCCTCAGTGTCGATAGTGTCACTGGCACGAGGCTGTCGCATTCATGGAAGAAAAGGAGAGGGAACATCCCTCCAAGGGCCAACACACTCGTTTCCACTGCCACATCACTCATGAGTCATAGACAGTCATAGGCATAGACTTCATCCGCGGCACCTTGTCGCCCGGGTACTGAGCCAGCGCCTCTAGCAGCGCCGGCCGCGTCAAAGCCCGGAGGTCGCAGACGCAGTCCGCCTTCAGGACGTGGTATAAGAAAGAGGAAGGCGAACGGAAACACGAAAGACTGCCAGCAAAGTGGAGAGTGGTTCGGCGTTGCTTGGGCCTTGATGGTTGCCGTGCGACGTCCTGGGCTCGCGAACTTCAAAGCGTGAAGGACCCGGCCCTTCACTACTACCGACCGCATTGCTCGCCAAGCATCTGGTGATGTTTAGAACGGCAAGCCCGCCAAAACAACTACCAGGATGCAGGTGGCTCAAAGGCTCCTGTGTAGTCTTGAAAGCAGCATCAAGGCGCAAGACAAAAGAGTGTGCTGATCAAGTCAAGTCCAAAGATTTCACAATGCACAAGCAAGACAGCGCTGTCCGAGTTGTAGCCACGAAAGACACTGCACTTGCCGACGCAGAGCCTTGGAACGAGCAGGAAGGATGATCCCACCCCCTAAAAATGTGAGGCGGAGGGGGGGGCGGGGGGTGCAAAATGGATCTTGCCTTTTCCAATCTGCCAAACTCAGCATGGAGGTAATGTAGGAAGCCGAAAAGCATCACTTTGTCCATCTCCTAGCGGCCCCCCCGTGAAACCTTAAACCTAGAATCCCTGAACCCACAAACGCCAAATCCAGAATCAGAAACCTTAAACGCCTAAACCCATAATATAAACCCTGAACCTAGAAACCCTAAACCCTGCACCCAGAAAACCCAAACCCCGAACCCAGAAACCTTAGCCCCAAAACCCTGACCCCACAAGCCCTAAACCCATAAACCCCGAACCTAGAAACCCTAAACGCAGAATCTGAACCCAGTTTCCTGAACCCTAAACCCAAAAACAGCGGGCTTTTTCTCCCTGTCCAGCACGTCGACCAGTGACGGTGCCCCCAGTCCCTGCCCCGGTGTCCACAACAAAATGGTTTTGCCCCTAATCCTAAATCCCGAAAGTTATCTGCAATATTGCCCCTAACTGCAATTTCACCCCTCCCCCCCCCACCGAGCAAGGGCAAGCACAGCGGTTGACCCTGGTTTTCTAATGAGCCTGACATAGTCTGACTAGCAAAGCAGGGGACTCTCCAATACATTGACTTCTTCACATCCATATAAGCGATCCCGACCGAACCCTCCCAGAATACATTAATCCACCCTGGGCAATGTATGGGGTCGACATGTCCCCCACTCCCGAATAACTTACTTTAGGTAGACCTAAACATCTCACAATGCACAACCGCTCACAACTGTCTCCGAGGATCTCTGAGCCTTTGCGGGCCCCAGGCGTGCTGCCCTCTTGTCCATTTTACGATGTGGGGGGGATATCCACCCCCCACCCACCCACTCCGTTGCGGATGCTCTCCAAACCCTGGAAAGCGTAGAAATTACGTTTTCCATGTATGAACCCCCCCGGCTATTTGATGGACGACTGAGGACTTTCTCCATACCGGCAAGGCACACATACATCTCGTCCCCCGCATCGCCCTCTTGCATGACTACCTCATCGCGGCAGTACACTTTCTGCCTCAGCTGGTGGCCAAGCTGTGGACATCCAAAGGTACGCTTCTTCTAAAGAAGCCGAGCGGCACCATGAGGCCACCTTCGACAAAGTGGAACCATACTGGGCTTGCATGAACACACTCCGTGCACAGCATTCTCGCCAAGCTTCGTATCACTCTGCAGAACTCGGCACTGCAATTTTCGAAAATGTTGATTTCACCTCAGCTGGCGTCGTTGGCTTCAGACGCGGCTCCGCTTCCTATACGCAGAAGAGCTACTGACTCGATCAGTGAAGGGAAAAAGCAACTGCAGGTGCTTCATCGCAACTTTGTCCTTAGCCAAGCCGGAGATTTAGGGTGATGTGCAATGCTGGCACATGAAGCCGTGTTCAATCGTTGTCACTGCATCCGAGACACGAAGAAGCTGCACCTCAGAGCTTCGAGCATACCAGCCCTCGCAGTTGCCGGACACAGCACATTGGCAACAAGCTGAGGGCGCTGCTCATACGGGAAGAGTAGCCACAAGTCTCGAATGGCTTTGGCCGACAGTTCCCATATGACACCTCGGCCATGCAGCTGGCCGACTTGCCGGTTCGTTACTTTTGTTACTTTTGGAGATCTTTACCAACTGCACCCCTCTTGCAGACGCTTGCATCAAAGGGTCAATCTGTGTAGGCCATGACCGAAGCGACGCGATTTAAACAGCTGCCACCAACTTCCAGCGCACCCCACCACGACTCCCTGACATGAAATTCTCGTGGGACCAGCCGAAGTCGCGCACACGCGCACACACACACACAATATCCGCAAGCCATGACCGCTCCTTCACTCAAGGGTTGCAGCCAAGCTTCCAGGCTTTGGTTCCCGGGAGTTGCGACAAGCGGCCAGCAAAGGCCTCAGCAAAACAAATAACCTGCTTAGTTTGACCACACGATGTTCGCAAACGATGTGGCCCCCGGATTGGCCCCATCGATCGAGGGGCAATGCTGGACGGCCAAGTGGCATGCTTGCAGTAAATGTCAGCCTCGCCGGTAAAGACAAAGAAGCCTGACTCCAAAGCAGTTCATTCATACAGTCTATGCAGACTACAGCAGACAGCATGCCTTGCAATTCTCACAGTACACCAAGAACGACTGGCACTCTTGCACGCAGAACGAGCTGCATGAATCTCCCACGTCGCCCTCTTTGCAGATTTTGGCTTCTGCCTGACTCAAGCAATCTAGTACAGCAGGCCGACCACAGCTCACGCCAACTCCAACTAAATAACTGGATGTTGTGCAGAGCCGCCCTATCGTCTGAGCCAGGCTACCTTAATCAGCTGGATTTTCGCATGAGTGAGAAGGGCATACCTGAACTCCTCCGTCAAGTTCACGAAGAGCTTGACATAGGCTTTGGCATGGTATCCTGAAGCTGGAACAGGAAACATGTCCTCCCCACAAAGGGAAGAAAAAAGACACGGGGCCCGGGCTCGTGAGCCAGGCCCTTAGGAAGCCCGTGGCGGCCTTGTAGGCCGTGTCTTTCATCTTCCCGAAGTCAGCGGAGTACCTGGGAACAGCGCAAGCCGCGAGTGACTAGTGAGAGATAGTTTTGTTTGCCGGCCAAGGCCTGGTGAAGAGAATTTCTAGGATGTCTGCCGAAACGAAGAGGAAGCCCCTCTTGGGCTCCGAGCCTCAAGAACACGGCATGAAGATTGCGTTGACATGATGGATGCAACTCTGGGCAGAGGACGCAAGCGCACCGTGAACGGACCTCGAGACATGAGCACCATGCACCCATTCCTGTTTTCATAGACTGTGGGCATGGGTCTCTGTAGAGGCTTCAGAGCTGGGGCTGGAACTGACGGAAGTTATGCCCAGCGCGACTTCCTTGAATCCCGCGGGCTCTCTTTTGGACAGGTGTGGCTCAGCTCGACAGTCCAAGAAATCTGCCTGCCCTGCTGTGCAAGGAAGCACGTAGGCCTGAATCGGGGGGCTGCCAACCAATGACGGTCCCGCAACAGCGGATTTTAGAAGGGAGCAAGGCCAGACCCAAAGCCGTCAAGACTGGCAGGATCGCAAATCTACTTCCAGCCCAGCCTCTGCATCAGGTCCCAGCGAGATGTTGTTGTACAAGACTTCCTGCTCTGAATTTGACATATTAGTCTGCCACTTTCAAAGGCAAGGCATGCAGAAGGCCAAGGGATGCCAGCTATGGAATGATATGAAAGACTCACCGTCAATGAGCTGCGTAATAAACGCAGCTGTGTCTCGAAGACATGGCTGTCGCTGTGGTGCGTCAGGAGCATTCCAGGCAGCATCTCCGGCGCACGGCCCTGGACCAGCAGGACGCGAGCCCTGGTTCAGGGAGCAAGGGCCCCGCAAAAAGCGCAGAAACCGGTTTTTCGAGTGTAGAAATGTGTAGAAGACGCAGAAAGTTTCTGCCGTTCCTGGCCTGGGTCTCATAAGGCTGCTTTCGAACATGTCGCGGGCATATTCCGTCTTGACTTCAACCTGACCTCGACTTGCGACTTTCCGCTGCCCCCAGCATAGCTGCGCTGCAAGGCTACTCACCTATTTGCTTGCTCTTCGGCATTCGTGTGGCACACGCAGACCCGCACACCCCGCTGTCCGAGCCGTGGGCCGACGGTCTTGACCTGGAAGGTCTTCATGTTCAGCGCTATCTCAGTTCGAAACCTCGGCTTCACAACACCATGAAGCATCAGCGACCGAAGCCAAGCGCTATCCTGCATGTCGATGCGCCGCAGCTCCGCCCAAGGTTCTTCCTGCTCTGCGCCGAGCGGCTCCTGCGAAGTGCCCTCGAAGAGGGGATGCTTCAATACGATGGCCGTGGAAAGGTCATCCGGCTCAGGCGACTCCTCCTGCAGCAAAGCAGGCGCCTGAGCTTCGGATACACCGATATGTAGCCGAGAATGATGCAGTTTCGCAAATCCCAGGCAGTCCCTGGCTGTTGTGGAGGTCGGCTCTTTGCCGTGGATGTCCGGTAAGTTCTGCAGCTGATTTGATGAACACACTCTCAGACAGGCTCCATCCTGAAACTCTGCCACGTGGCAGACTTCTGGCCGTTGGACTTGCTGCTGCCAAGCTTATGTGTCTGACTCCTGCACAGCCACACAGAGCCGGGACGAGCATTTTGCAGCGCCAGCCGGCGGCCTCTCCAGAGTCTTCGGCGATTGCAGGTCAGACCTGTGAAAGCTGCTTTGGAGAACGTACGCGCGGGCACACACACAAAGGTCGAACAAAACTTCTGCCGAAGGGCTTCTCATCCCGAGGCGGTGGGACCTGAATTTGTGCATATGCAAGCTGACCTGTGAGTTTGCATGTATCTCTCGACACGCTCCACGTATCCAAATGACTTCTCGTCATGATAAGGGTCTACACCAGGGGACGGTGGTTGACCGCGTGATTTTCTTGGCCATGGAGAAGAACTACAAGGCCCAGGCATCGATGTACACCCGCACTAACAGTTGGAAAGAGTACTACTCGACGGGCACAAGCCCTTTGCAACATGGTGACAGCGCTGTCGTGAGTCTCCCAATGAAGTTCTAGCTGCACCTGCCGATGGCCACCGAACAATGCTGTCACTACAATGAAATTCATCGAGACTTGGATACCAAAACTACAGCAGGTTGGCTAGTCATGTCTATGCTTGCTCGCATGCATTCGTAGCACAATGTGCTTGAACCTGAAGGCAACTCCGAGATCATGCCTGTTCCAAAATTCTGCTGCACCTGGCCGTAGACAAAGAACCTAGAACCAGGGTCTTGCTCTGGCTCACTGTTCAAAGAAACTTCATGCCTTGCCTTTGAACAACATCGACTGCCTCCCGCACGCACAGAGCTGTGGCTGCCTTCAGATCAGCTTGAAACTTGCTGAACTTCTCCGGAAACTTCTTGTCCTGCCATCTTGAGAATCCGTGGTGCGTCGACTGCATCGCTGCACTTCCGAAAAGCCTCGGTGTGACGCTGCCCGGTGATTTGAGTCACAATTTGCTTGGCATCGCCAGACCTGAACGGCAACAGCTCCACACGAAGCCTGGACAAGGCTGCGTGTGCAGAACGACAGATGAGCCTCCAGCCAGCCCATGAGGATTGCTAGGGCATCCTCAGCCCGCAAGAGCATGGCCTGCATTTTTGCAGAAAACGTCGGCTGTGGCGGCGACCAGCACGTTTTGAGCCGGTGCCGGAGTATCAAAGTACTCAGAGATCCAATAGTTGAACCTCAGTAACAGCACAGCTCCAGAGAAGCTTTTTTGTACAGTCCAACATAAGCTGCAGGCTCATCAAACTTCGACAGCTCTTTCAGGTGCACCTGCTTCCCACGGCGAGAAAGGACTCACTCTCCTGCCTTGCTGCTCAAGCCTTCGGATCTGCGCCTGAGCGAAGGATTCACGCAAAGACGGCGCCTTCATCACGACCCAAAACGTGTTGGGCCTTCCCAGCGAAGGCTCTCCTGGATCAGAACAGCGAGGGGAAACAGCCTACTACAGTGCAGAAGGTCGGGCTCGCATCCTGCCCATCACTGCATTGCATGGCTCTGAAGAGCGTCCTTCATGGCGAGCAGGTCAGTCGCCATGGCAATGGTATAAGGAAACCAGCTTGGCTTTGTATGGTGAGTGTCAGGAAGTGCTCCGGCTCTGAGTTCATGATGTCAGCGATTACCTCCTTCGTTGGATGGTGCCCGGGGGTGCCGAAGCCTGATTTGTTTATCTACCCTCGGAGACGCATCTCACATGACTCTATGGCTCAGCTCTTTGAGCGGCCGAGGCGGGGATGATAAGGTCCGAGCTTGGCAGTTTGGAGACGGCGCAGGAAAAGAGCCGGCTCCGCCCAAGTCCCCGCGTCGAGAACGCGAAGGAACGCACCACGGCCAATCCGAGGCCGCACCTCGCCAGGGCCCGGCAATCCCGGCCAGCCCGGCAAGCAAGAAGCGCAGCATGTTCTTTGCGGGCGACGGCCTTCTGGTCTGAGCTGAAGACTTCGCCCGCGTGCATCGGAGGTGCCGGGGCCTTTTGCAACCCAATGCGGTGAGCTACCGCCAAGCGATCCAACCCTTGCTGTGCTCCTGACCTTCTTGGCCAGGTTTGGCGCTGCCAGATGCACAAGCTCCCTTGTACAAACCTGCCATGCAGGCCATGCATGCTTACCATGGCAGCCGGCTGGCACAGGATGGCACATGCCAAACCTCAAATTTCCAGAGGCCGTGTTGTACTTCAACCTCGACCATGCGCACCTGAACACATGAGCCAAGCAGGGAGCCCGCTCGAGGGCCATCTCGGAAACCGAGCCTTTCTGTCCTTGGGCGAAATGTCGAACAGCCATCCCCCCTCAAGGCAGAGGCAGTGCACAGCCTTTGGCTCTCCGTCCATCCGATGCCTCCGCCAAATGCAGCCACTTCGTCCAGCCCGACCTGCTTAGCACCCAGATTCCCGGACGATGGGGAGGAAGTTGGACCCTTACCATTCAGGCCTCAGCCTCTCGTGGACTTCAACGACAGTGCCAGCTGGGTAGCGCTTGGCGCTGGACTCCTTGCTGGTGCCTTGGGCCGATCGGCGGTAAAAGTAGAAGCTCTGGCTGCGGACTAACTCGGAAGACAAATTCGAAAAATCGGCGCAAAGATTCAGATAAACAAAAAGACTTGGGAAACATCGAAAGACAATTGGGCAAACCCTGCTAACGCGATTCAGCACACCAAGCCGTAAAAACTCAGAATACAGCCAAGGATGCAAAGACGCAGAAGGAGGCTTACACCATCTGGTTTTCCCAATTGGCCCCACTTGTTTTGCGGAGATGGTTTTCCTAAATCTGTGGATTGATTCGGAGCCAGTGATGAAGAGGTTTCCCCCTTCCCCGCGCGCCGGTGCCCCCCCGACTGATTCTCTGGGATCCTGACTGTACACCGGCTCCTGACGGAAGGTCTGCGATGTCAGAAACTGCTGCTGCGCACTGGGATACATTGGTGTTGCGGCTCAGGAGTGCGTGTGGGGACAGTAGCTTTGCACGACATAGGCACCACCTTGCAACACCACCACGAGCAGACTAACTGTGAAGCGTCCTGCCGTGGCCGGATACCAGAAAGGTCCGTCACCAAATAGCTCCAGATCCCAGTCTCCTGGCACTTACCAACAGACTTGCCCGACAAGACACCACAAAAATAGCTGGACTTCCCCGCAGACCCCGCAAGCTGTCTTGACTACGGATGGCCTTGGAGTCTGTCGCCGCCTTTCCCACCCTCCAAGAGACTTATTGCAAGAATAGGTCCTGGCTTCCGCTTCGGCACAAATGCAGCTGCGTCACGGTGGTTCGGTGAGGCCAGGAAGTCCCGGTTTGTGCCTTCCAACTCCGACATACAGCGAGCAACTCAAACCCAAATCAAGCATCTGAGGCACGAACAAGCGGTCGAGGCCAGAAAGGGCCTTCTCAGACCCAGGCTAAACTGCAAAACATGCAAACATGCACGCACTTCCGTCCTACATCAAACCAGCTCTTGGTTTCCATGAGGTGGAATGGCATCAGGGCATGTGTCGGAGATAAGGGTTTGTGACCGTGGGCACTTGCGAGACAGTACGATCCTCAAGGACTGCACCTCGTATGCACACCTCCCGCAGGTCCCGATGAGATGGTTCGTGGGCCAGGCAGAAAGTTAGCAGAAACAGTTGGTGCCATCGAATCCTAAACAAACCTGGTGCAGTGGCTACCAATATGTGGGTGGTGGGACCCAGGTCGGCCTTCTTGAGCATGGAGCCATCCACACGTTCAAGCTGACCAACAGCCGGACTCGGTCGTCATTCGCGTCACAATCTGGCAGTCTTGCAGCATTGACACCTACCTGAAGGGGCTATATAGGAGGGCAGACACTCTACATGAAAGATTCTGTCGATGTTGCCAGGAATCCAACATGAGCTGCTACAGGTTAAAATAAAGAGTCAATGCTTGAGCGTGCATCTGGAAACGGCTGAGCCGAGGTGTTGGCCTGCTGCTCCCGCGCATGCGAACAGCCAGCGGTGCAAGAAAGCGCAGAATTTCCTAGCCAGCACGGCCTCATTTGCGTGTGTATGCGAGGTCACACTTTGGTGGGTTCACTGCAATCTGCGCTTGCAGAGCTGTTGGGATTTGTAGTCTAGAGTCTGGGGCATGAACACAATTTCACCAGAGCAGGAAAATCATGAAACGGTACATCTTTCTACGATTCTTCACTCTCTCTGTACAAGTGGGCGGGCAACACGGGACCCCTCGGCGTGGAATGTGGGGTTTTGCCTTGAAATGGCCCTGTTTTGCAAGAGAGGCCCTCCAGTCTGTCCACGTCACTCAGCAAGGACCAGTCTGACGGAGTGTCTGGACGCCGAGCCCGGGCCGAAGGACCCACTTGTGCCAGCTCCAGGACAAGCCGCTCGTACTCCTTGCGAACAGCCTCCTGGGCAGCCTGGCCCACGGAATGTTTGTGTTTGGCCTCCAAATCTTCAACTCGGTTGCTGAGCTCCTGCGTTGCCGACATGGACGCGGCCTTGCAAAGCTGCCTTTGCAGCTCGGCAAACTGCGTTTGAACGCTGCGGATGAGGTTTCCGTGCGAAGCCACGTCGCGGGAAAGCTGATGCTCGGTAGCTTCGAGGTGGCAGCGGGTCGCAAGGATACGAGCTTCCTGCTCCTGGCCGAGCGAATCCCCTTGAAATCTACAGAAGATCCCATGCCTAATCCACCCTGCCATCGTATTGCCTTTCTGCAAAGGTCCTCACGTACTTACGACTTACGGCCTTCATTTCAAGTGAAAGAATGGACACGCGACTCTCCTCGAGGCGTCGGGCGATGTCTCCGGGTTGAAGGCCGTCGAAGCGCTGCGCCAGTCGCTCCAAAGCCCGGCTCAGCTCTTCCACGCGGTTCTCGAGGCCGTCAAGCCTGGAGGGAGGCTGAAGAGACATATGAGAAGAGAGAGAGAAAGTGAGAGAGGCTGCTGGCTGTTTTTTTGGGCCATGGCACCGGCCGAGCATCTCGTTGAAGGCCTCGGGCCAGGAAGCCTCCCCGCGCCAAGCGGTGCTCTTTGGCCGAACGGAGCCGGAGCCGGAGTTGCCCGCGCCGAAACCGCCGAAACCTCCTGCACTCGGCACGGGCACGGAGCTTGCAGAGGCTTTGGAGCTCACGGAACCGGCATTTTGCCAGCTTTCGATGATGTTGGCGACGTGGCCGACTTTGGTTGGGCTGGAATTACCTTGAGGGGCCGGATCTGCGTACGACACATCGGCACGTGCCACGGGGAGCTGTCCATGTCCATCGATGACCTCCATCGCTTCGGGATTGAGCACAAATGGCAATCTGGCTACCACACCTGGTGACAACACACAGGACCGAGAAGTCAGGATTTCCAGGCCCTGGGCTCGTTATGTGGGTGCAGCTTGATTATCAAATACCAGGATGGCATGCACTATGGAGCACGCGTGAGCTTCGAAGCATTATGGCCTGGGCTCATGAGTGAGTGCTGCGGCAGGCCACAGCGCAGTGCAAACCCTTGGACTGCGGAGGGCACTGCTTCCAGTGCTTCATGTTGCTGAAGACTTGCGCCGGTGGCAGCCTTGGCCACACAGCGCAGGCGTGGCATCACCAAGCGCATGCATATTCATGTATCCGGTTCAATCCGCTCATGTGAATGTAAGCTCATCTTCTAGTTCTGCAGTCTTCTTCTTCGTCTTCTACAGCACGTGTAAGGAGAGTCTCCGCGCCCTTGTCTGTCTTTCTGCCGCACGGCGTGGGCAAAGGGGCGTTATCAAATCACTCGGCCGCAAGCACGCACTCTTGCGTGCATCGAGGAACTTGGAAAATCCGATCTCGACGTGAAACTTCTGATAGGTGCCAAGAGTAGGGACTCAAGTGTTTCAAAGCTTTTCGTGTCTCAGAAGAATGGTGAGATTGGGGAATTTGAAAGTTTGCGAATGTTGGAGAATGAAGAGTTTGAAGCTTGCAAGTTCGCTCCAGGGTCAGCGCCCTAACCCCATTTTCGAGTTTGAAAGCAGATGCGAGTTTTAGTTTCAAGGTGCGCGAGGTTGAAAGATTGACAGTCCGAACGATTCTCGAAGGTTGAAAGGATGACAAGCACGAAGCTTTTCAGCCGGAGTACTGCTGATGCGACCGTTACAAAACGAACACAGGGGCAGCACGGAGTTTGAGACTTCGAGCACTTCAAAGTTTCAGAATTTGAAAGTCCGGATCTCATAATGTTTGACCTTCAAAAGTATGAAAGATTGAGAGTCTGAGTTTGAAAGCTCGCAGAACTGGCGCTTAGAGGGCCGATGTCGAGAGCACGAGAATTAGGGCTTCGAGTTCTAGGGTTTCGAGTTAAGGGTGTCAAAATAACCTAAACACTCAACGACATGCTGCTTAAAGTAAGGTTTTAAGTACCCTGATTCCAATGAAGTGGCAAGCTTAAGTCATGGGATCAGGTGCCCGCCTAACAAGGGGCGAGTTTAAGATATGGGATCAACCACCATCGCACGATGAGGGGGCGGGTCTAAGATATGGAAAGATATGAAATCCACCGCCATCGCCTGATGGGGGAATGGGATAAGATGTGAGATCAACGATGTGAGATCAAATGCCTTCGCCTAATGAGGGGCCGAGCAACCTCGCCTAATGCCGGGGCCGGCTATGAGAAATGAATTCAACCGCCATCGCCCTCTAACGAGGGGTCTGGATAGCTTAACCGCCGTCGCCTACTGAGGGGGCGATTTGAAGATATGGGACCAGTTGAGGCCATTCAACTTTGCTTCTCTCGTGCCTGCGAACTTTGCACTCAAACTTTCTAACTCGGAACTCGGCGGACCGTCGGGTTTAGGCATTGTAGGATTTTTTGGGCGGCCCTATGCAACTCTCTCGAAGTAACTCCTAGTGTACAGTCTGTGGGTAGATTGAAAAAGAGCTAGCTGTGAGGAGTGTCTTGCACGTTGGCAGCCTCACTAGTTTACTCCAAAATGCGGTCTACAGCTAATCAGCCAGTGCCAAAGTAGCTTGGTGCACTGTTCTGTCCAGTGGACTCTCCTCCTACCTGGCCTAAGGCCTGCTCCTACCGTTCCACCCCTCTACTGAAAAATATGTGTAAAGCAGCAATTCCGCTCTATACAAATCGGATGGGATCGACGAATGTGCCCAAAAAGCTTCAATTGTGCTTTGCGGATGTGGTGTGTGAGGGGGGGTTGCTCAGTGAGGAATCTCACCTCCTGGTTGGTGTATGTGTGAGCCGTGGGCTGTAAAACTTCTGTGTAGTATGTGCTCTTGAGATGCAGAATTTTGCGAAGGCTCTGTGAGTGGAATGCTTCGAGTCTGTTGTGGTCGTTGATGGTCAGGGCGGCCGATTCCAGCCCGTAGGTGACAAGTGGTATGAAGACAGCGTTGTATATTCTGAGCTTCCACTTGAGTGTTTGGTCTGTGTTGCGCCAGAACTGGTGCAGCGCGTGGAAGTGTTTGCGAGCCTTAGCGAGGCGTGTTGTGATGTCTTTGCGGGTGGAGCCGTCGCTGCTGAGGGTGACGCCAAGGTACTTGGCGTGCTGCAGGTGTGCCGTCTGTGAATGTGATGGGGTTGTGTGAGGTGGGGGAGCGTAAAAGAACGCATTTCTTGAGGTTTAAATGTAAATTGCTGTGAGAGGCGATGCGCTGCAGAGTGTGGAGCAATTGTTCTGCTCTGGTGGAGGTGCCGGCCAACAGGGCGGTGTCATTTGCATATGCTAAATCGTAGAATGATTGGTTCTGGCTGTACAGCCAAGGGAGAAATTCTCCGTGAGCTGTGAGGGCTGCATCCACGTCGTGTATGATCATCCCATGGACCACCAAAATGAGGTATGGGGAAAGTGGGCATCCCTGTCTGATGCTCTTGGCTGCTGGTGCACCCTGCCGCTGCCACCATGAACTGTGGAGAGGTGTATATGTTTTTTGATGAGTGCTGTGAAGTGTGGTGGCACTCCATATCTGTCGAGCGCTGTGAGCAGTGCCTGTGGGTGGATTTTGTCAATCCAGCAGGATGGTGTAAAGTGGCTGGCCTGTGGCTTCTGCTCTCTCGATAAGCCGACGGATGATGTGGATCGGCTGTGAGGTGGACCGTGCTGCTCGGAACCCGAACTGGGTGTCTCTGAGTCTGTCGTCGATCGCCGCCTGCAGTCTGTTGTGAATGATCTTGGCAAAAAGCTTGTATGACGTGCTGAGAAGTGATATGGGTCTGTAGCTCGCTGGGTCTGTGAGTGGACCCTTGCCTTTGTAGATCTCGACGAATATGGCTGTGTGCCAATCCTCCGGTACTGTGGCTGTGAGAAGTGACTGGTTGGGTACATGGAGGAGTGCTTGTTGGTTGTGTTGGTCCAGCCTCGCCAGGCTTCGGCTGGGAGGGTGTCTGGGCCTGGTGCTTCAGTTGCTTGAGGGCTGTTTGTAGCTCTGTTGTGGTAATGGGGCTGAGGTCCACTGATGCTGGTGGGTGGATGGGGTCTGTGGGGCCCGTATAAGAAGTGTTTGGCTCCGCCCAGTGAGAGTCTCGCAAGTATTCTGCGAACGTCTGTGCCTGCAGCAGGCAGCCTGCTGGGTTTGACTGGTTGGCTTGCCCGTCGCCGTTGGGGCGCCTGTGGGTGTCTGTTTGGGATGCCTTCTCCATCCAACTTTGTGGAAGGCAGTAGTCCTGTGAGGCGAGGAGATCGTGGAACTGCCATTGGTTCGTGTCTCCTTCCTCCGTGTTGTCTGTTTCGTCCTCCTCCGCCGTCTTGCCTGGTGCAAAGTGGGCGCCCACTGCGTGGGGAAGGGCCGCAATCTCGTCCAGTGCCAGCGCGTTGAAGTCGCCAACCACCAAGAGTGGAGTGCGTTCTCTGTGTGAGGTGAGGCGTTGTGTGAGCTGCTGCCAAAAGGCGTCTCTGATAGGCTGCTCTCTGCGGTTGTGTGGGGCATAGATGACCATGATCTTCAGTGGGGCCTCCACCGTGTCGATGGTGAAGTGTAGAAAACGGCCATCTATGCAGGTGAGGTCTGTGAAGATGGGTGTGAGGCTGGGGGCTGTAATCAGGGAGACTCCTGTGAATGTCTGGGTGGGTTTGTTTTTCGGGTCGTAGATCTCGGTGGCGCTGTGGGTGATGGTGTAGCCTTCGATCATGAATTGATCGGGTTGTTTTATGTGGGTCTCTGTGAGGGCAAGCCAGCTCAGGTTGTGTTGCCGCATGAGCTGCATCAGCGAGTGGAGTTTGGCTGCCTCTAGGACTCTAGGAGTCCGGTGGTGTTCCAGAAGGCTCCTCTTAGTGGCTGCTCTTGCTGTGCTTGAATGTCGTGCTTGGTCCTGCCTCCGGCTGTCGGCTGTGACACGTGTGTCTTGAGCCAGTGTGCTCTGGTGTGTGTTCGTTGGCGCATATCGTGGCGTTGCTGCCATTGCTGCCTGTTGTTGGGTGTGGGCTGTGAGTCGGTGCGGAGGTGATTGGGTGTGGCGTTGCTTTGTGGGGCTTTGTGCTTGAGCTTGAACGCTCTCGCGTCTGCTTGGAGTGTTGTTGCTGTTGTGGGGTCTCTCCTGTGTGTTGCTGCTGCTGTTGGGCTGTAGCCGCCGGTGTGCGGGAGTGCGGCAAGTGAGGCCGTATAAAGGCTTTTGGTGGGGCCGTGCTGGGGAGCCCTTACCCCAGGGCGGCGCAGTGGAAGGGGGGGAGTGTAATGCTGAGCGCCATCCGTGGTATTCGCGTTGGCGCTGTGCTCGGTGAGTGATGCGTCTCTGGGCCCGACGTTGTCTCGAGTCCCTGCTTCTAAGGTGGCGCTTGTGCTGTGAGAGGGTTTGGTGCGGGCGCTTGTGCTGTGGGGTGTGTTTGTGGCGGCGGTTGGTGGTGTTGGTGGTGCACTTCGTCGCCGAAAGGCACATTCCTCAATCCCGAAAAATCCGACTGAAGAGCGGAACTGTGACAACTATGCATAAAAAGGATTT